ATTGAAACCTGACTGTGCCCGTTCATTTACAGCGCACAGGGGCCTGCTCTGTTTAATCTGAAGGCCCCGAGCAAGTTTAATTTACCTGGCAACACAAGCTAGCTGAAATATGATTGGTTAAAAACTTAACCAAGTAAATTTACTTTTCTGAGAATGTTTAGGCCAGCAGAGAAGGCCTTGCTGGCCCTGAGGGTCCGCCACTGCAGTATCTATATTTGAGCAAAATCAGTCCTCAGTTTTGTCATGCTGGCTCTGCACATCTCTCAGCATTGTAAGTGAATTGTATTTGTACTTGTTCTGTCATTGGCAGGAACATTTTCGAGTGTAGAGGAGATCCCAGAGAAACTAGTTCATGACTATGAGAAGAACGGCCTGCCCCGCCTCTCATCACTGACGCCACAGGAAATTAGACACAGGTGAGTCACAGTAAACCTTCCACAAATGACGACAACAGATGACTTTTTACATGGTACACAGAGACCAATATTCAAGCCAAAATATGACCCAAATTGTAGACATCCAATCAAAGTTCACAAAGGTCAGATGACCAGATGTCTCCCAAACGTTACCCAGAGAGAGTATCCTATGATGTGGGATGCGTTTCGTGATATTTTTTCCCCGCCCCAGTCTGCTTGGAAAAAAGTCTTATGAATAAATGTTGTATTGTTCGCTCTTTATGGCGGCAACATTGAAACAAAACAACAGCCGATTAGGATGCTCGCTGAACTCGACACCGACTATTGCCACACACAAATAGTCGAGCGATTGGTTGTGTGGAGTGTTTGTATAAAAAAATTAAACAAATATTTGTTTGCCTCAACAACATAGTTGCCACATAAGCCAACAGTTAACAAAGTTTCTTCTTTTCCTATGATTAATACTTTTACTTTTTGTTTGTTGTGTTTCCCAGACTCACAGAGTGTTGTTGGTACTATTACACTAATTTGGTTGAAGGCAGGAGACTTGCAATTGGCAGTGTTGATTCCATGTGTGACGTGCTGGACATCAACAATGCCTCAAGTTAGTAGCGACAAGAAGTCAAATGTTTAATTTTGTCCCTGTCATGTGCGCTGTGTTCAACAGATTAAAAAATTACTTCAAGTTTTTCATCGTGAGGGATCCATTTGAGCGGCTGATTTCCACATTTGAGGGCAAGTTCCTGTTTAACAAACCTTCTGAGCCTTGGTACAAGTACACCATCGGACCTGCCCTGATCCGCAAATACCGCAAAAGCTCTCACCACCTCAGAGATACTGGTTTAGTCTTTGATGAATTTGTTCAATACCTGGGGGACGAGGACGGCCGGAAGGCCATGGACTGGCAGTTTGGCCAGCACATCATCCACTGGGCACCCTACATGGAATTGTGCACGCCGTGCGACATCCACTACGACGTCATAGGCCACCTCGAGACATTGGAGCAAGACACCGCCCACATTCTGAGGAGAGCGGGCATTGAGCAGCTTGGGTCCTACCCGCCCATTTCTCCTGGCATTGCACACTACAACAAGACCAAGGTGGAGCGTTACTTCTCAGGAATCAGCAAGAAGGACATCCGACGCCTATATGCCCGCTACCAGGGGGACTTTTATGTATTTGGATACCCAACCCCTGGCTTTTTACTCAACTGACATGCTTACAAGGGGACACGATATGCCAATGTTACTTTTTAATTGTTTGAAGACAAATACTTGTCTGAAACGTCGGTCAAGCCATCACCCAAGTTGCCTTCAGTTCATTGCCTAAACAATGTTATCTTCTGACCGAATTGAATAATGTTTTAGGATTCCAAAAATGCGAGCTCAGACAAAGTGAGATTACAAAAATATTTTTTTGTCATCAATGGGTCACTCAGATCATGGTTGGGGGTCACATGCAAACCGAGGACTGTCAGCTGTCCCTCCCCAATTTAGAGATAGTGATAGATGGATAGATACTTGATTCCATTCATGAGGGAAAATTAAACTGTTACAGCAGCAATAATTCACAATTGCAGCCCCAAAAAGACGAGCAGTACACTTAAAAAGGAAAAAAAAAGACAGACAAAAGCACTATTGGGAGGGACCGAGGGAAAAGTAACATCTAATTTAATAAGGTGTTACTGTTAGACCGCGGAAACTAATAAACAATAAAGCATAAATAGAGCCCAATTCGCCCCACAGCAGGAAGAGTTTTTAATAATTTACTGTTGTAGCTTCCAAACTGATCATGTTGACAGCTGTTACATATTTTATGGCTAAATTATGATGTGTTGTTTCTCAGTGCCATTAACGCAGTGTTTCTCAAATAGTGAGGGGGGCGAGGCTCCGTCGAGGGGGGTGCGTTTAACTTCGGGGAACATGCTTTTTTATTTTGATTTTTTTTACTGTCCGAGAATAAAGTGCAGTTGCACCTCCACTACATTAGAGGCACTGGCGCTCTCATTGGCAGAGTTTGCGCAGGGAGCATTCGAAGGAAGGAAATACAGTACTGTACTGTATGACGAAGCGTATGTAGCACTTGGCTTCACTGTGACTACCGTGGCAGACGAGAAACGATAGGTGCGCTTACTGTGTCTAAAAATGTTGGTAGCGGACAGCATGAAGCCAAATAAATTAAGGCGTCACTTCAAGACATTACACTCCAATCACGCTGATAAGCCGCTTGAGTTTTTTCAGCGAAAACTTGCCGAATATTGCCAACAATCATGCCGCTTTGTGACTGCTACTTCAGTAAATTAAATACAGGTCCCGGCTACACATTGAGCAGGAGCCGAGAGTTGCTGTGTACTGCTTCAAACCTTGCTTCGAAAAGCTGTGCATTGCAAAACGTGCTCATTGTAGCCATTAATCCAGACATCATCTTTGATTAAAAAAAAAAAAAATCAGCACAAATTATTTTATACATTTTTTGTTTTGCAGGTTAAAGGTTTTTTTATATTGTGCTCCTGAGTTAATGTTGGTGATCAGTTTGAATGCATTATTATTTATTGATTTTATGTAATTGTATTTTTCAGTATCGTATGGTTTGACATGGCCAGTCAAAAATGTTTACAGTTTAATTAAGGATTTAATTTTATTTTTGAATTTCAGATGCCCTTTAAATCTTTTCTGTTAGTTAATAAAGCTATTCTTTGTTGAAAGTTGGTCCATATTTCTTTCTTTTTTTATTCTTTCATAGGTTAATAAGAATCCAGTGTTATGCAGAGGTGTACTTCTAACAATTTTATAGACAAATGATACTATTATAGTCGTGCGTGGGGAACGAGATGTTTTCTTCTTCCTAAGGGGGGCATGACAGAAAATAATTGAGAAACACTGATATAGACACCAGTCTATATGTGCCTTGGAATAGACTTCCTGGTAGATTTATACCAATTCTTAGGCACAGGGCCTTGTTCAAAACAAACAACTCACAAAGTGCTGGAAACATACTAGGTCGTTTCAGCAATGCACTGGACAAATGATCAAATCCAGTCGCCTTCTTCAATTTAAGCTTGTCCACAGACCTCCCTTCTGTCAATTCAAAGTTTAAATATTGATTTCACCTAACCTTAATCAGTAATTCCATCTGGGTTTTTTTGAGCAACTTGCATTCCAAATAACCGTCATACACTCGGGGCAGATGGGTCTTGCTGAAAATAAAGCTTCAAACTCGGTCTCCCACTTTTTAAAAACATTTCTATATCAAGACATAATGATCCAGCGTCCTGGGTTACCACAAGTGGAATATTGCCAACTTTCCTTGGACCCAATTTATTTACCAAAATTCTCAATGCTCAAACACCTCAAACATTATGAATTTGATTATAATGTAATTAATTTTCAAAGCGAGACTCTCTAACTTGTGTTTTCTTGGCTACTCTCACATCTTTCCTTCCACACAGCATACAGAGCCTTGTTCCAAAACGGTTGAGTTGTTTTCCTTTTGCACCTCCATACAAATTGTCTCAAAAACAAATTGACAAAAACCTCTAGAAATCGTATCTATTTCAAGTTCATTATTAATTAGGGTCAATGTATCCACAAATACGGAGACTACCGACTGATATTGGTCATATAAAAAGTCTTGAGGAAAGTTTCTTAAATTCACATCTTTATCCTGTTGAGGGTGTTTTTTGACACCAACCAATTTTGTCCTGCTGAAAATGTTAGAATTTGAATTTTACCGTGATAGTCCAATTAACCCAAAGTATCTAAAAGCTCATTTGGACTGTAAATAAGTGTGGTAAATTGTGATAATATAATCCACCACTGCTGTACGACTTATTTTTGCTCCATGTACAGCAATTTGTATACAGCGATGGTTGTTTTAAAGTGCTTCATGAATACAGATGAGTTGAAAGACACAGAGGTGCACTTATTACTGCTCAAAATTTGACCATTTAGAACACAGCATTTGCTGCCCTTCAGAAACCGAATTGGCATTTCTCCTTGAAAATTTACACTATCATCCACAACATTCAGTCCGGAGTAAGGCCTAAAACGGAATCACAGATCCAGTCAACAAAATTCCTATTGAAATCACCCCAAAAATACACTGCATCACGTTCAAATTCTAAACTATACATTTAAACCAAAAGAGTACTAGACTACCTCTGTGGGTCAGCCCACATTGATCCGTCGGGGAGGAGCCAACATGAAACACAAGCCGGGGAATATTTTGATAGGACATGCTTGAGATGAATGCAAATTATGCCCTCATTAGCTATGTCAACTTAAATCACCTCCAACTTTCTCAGTGTATTATTTTTGATGAAAATGCCAACCTCCTTCTGAGACTTCATAAGCTTAAATAGGAGTCCTCCTATATTGACCGACCCAAATTGAAGCAATAATGCCAATTGTGGTCTGTCCAGCGTACAAGTGTTTCCCACTTATGGCTTGGGATACAGAACCTCAGGTGGTCACGAGACCCCTCCACTAAAGTAAACACACCTCTCATGCAAACAGACTCAACTGGAACCTCTTGATTTGATAGGATTAAAATGGATTTACGTGGGACAGGAGAAGTGAACCAATCTTTTTTTTCGTCAATGGATGCTACAGCCTCTTGTTGACTTTGAAACTTAGCTTGTAGCCAACGTGTGCACATTTTGAGCATGACGTCTCTGATCCACTGGTGAAAGGACACTTTGATTCTCTCCTCTTTCATCTCACTTTGATTCTCTCCTCTTTCATCTCAAACTGCTTTAAACAACAAAACGTATGAGGGAAAAGTGGTTAGGACTGCACGACTGTCCGTGTTTTATGGTATGTGTTGTGTTTATTATTTTACTTTCATGTTAACTGTTTTGTTAAGCGCTTTGTTACATCTGCTGCTGTTGTGAAAGCGCTATATAAATCAGGATGTATTGTACTGTATTGATTTATTCCCAAAAAACGTTCTGGCAGTGATATTCTGACTGCACAAAAGTAGCAATATTTACTACCTATTACGGTAAAGCAATAATTTACCTATTGAAAGTAAGATCATGGAACAGATTTGAGTGCAAAAGAAAACCAAGGTCATGTCGCTCAAACGAGAACTCTTTTTATTGAGGTTTATTCCACAGGCATATTTAGTTTTCATCGACATTGACTGTCTGCAGACCTGTAGGAGAGATGAAGAGCGCTGGGGTCAGACCAAGCGTTAAGTCGAGCTACGGATGCATGAGCAAACAGCCTCCTCACCTTTGCATGTTGTAACTGGAACGTATGTGACCAGGGTGTACAGTTTGTTGGGGGAATCCTCATCCTCGTTACGTTTCCTGGACAGTCGAACGCGTATTCTGTATGGAACGTTCCTGCACAAACAAATGATGGTTAAGATTACACGACTGTTTGTGTCTAATGTGTTGTATTATTTTGTTATTTTGACTTCAAGCTGGCGCCGCGAGAGTGGCTGTCCTTCCAGCATTTTGTTCTTCTACTTCTTTCTTTCATAACTTTGCTGCTGTGAATTGGGAATTTCTCCATTTTAGACTAATAAAGGTTTCTTATCTTATCTATCAATTGTGTTCCACTTGAACTATGGCCAGTGGGTTCGATGCTGTAAACAATTCCCATAAAGGATTTTACATGATGTGAAAATTCCCCCATTTTTTTTTAAACTGGAAAGAAGACAACGACACTCACACGCCAAATAAGCAACTGCGCTGTCTCCCTGGTTCACAAGTTATTCTCTACTCATTGAATTATGTTTTGTGGAAACAATCAGAAACTTTAGGCCCCTGGCTAAACACTCAAAATGTCTTACCTGACCCCCTTGCTCCACACTGCCTTGTTGAGGCGAGTGTCAATGCGGACATCAGGGGTACCCATCTCTTTCACTGCAAACTTGCGGATTTCTTTGATGGCACGGGGAGCCCTCTTTTTGAAACCCCTGAAAAAAGACAATTACACCAACTGCTTAAAAAATACCACTCTGAAAAAAACTAGAGTATTGTTTTACGCTTGATCATATTTGTAGTACGTATTTATGCAAACAATGTCTGGAGTTAGTGTTTTCAAATGTTACACTCACACCCCATGGATACGCTTGTGGACGTTGATGGTGTACTCTCTGGTCACCACCTCGTTGATGGCCGAACGTCCTTTCTTCTTTTCACCTTTCTTGGTTGGGGCCATCTATAGATCATTACATAAAAACTTAAAAATCAAGTTGGCACGTTTGCTGAGCATCTGTATTCATATGTAGAGGCGGCAAGGGATGCTCGATTCAAGACGCCGAAGACTACTGCCATTAAAAAAAACAAACTACGTACAGTAGTTACTTTAGAAACAAAAATAAACGTTTATGGGCAAGAAACATACAACACCACCACAGCCAACTAATACACAGCGCACAAGCATTCGGTCAATCCACAGCTAGAACTCATTGCTTTCAATGCTCTTTTCACATCAATTCTACGTAACCAAAACCAACTCTGTAAAGTAGTACGATACTTGTGTACACGTTTATAATGTAAGTATGGACATTTTTTGTGTTTTAAACGCAGGATGGTAATAGATTGTTGAATTTTCTTATGCAGAATAACTCACTCACATTAGCAGACTGGTGAGGCGGAAGTCGGAAGGACGGAGGACACGACAAGCATTGTGGGTAAAGGAAACAGCTCCGTTTTTACAAGTGTTCGTAGAGAAACAAGCAGACGGTAAAAAGGCCCGCAAAACAAAACATCCAAAAACTCTTTTATGCGTCTATTTTTTTACGGTCAGCAACGTGCGTAGTATAATCGGTGTTACAAATCAACGACAATTTTAAGACGGCTACACTCGTGGAAGCATTTGAATCTTTGTTTTATATGTACACATTGACACATACAATCTAACAATGATGTTAATTTTATATTAGTTGACTTGCTGTAATCGAGGAAGGTGGGAAGTCGGGACTTTTCACATATCATATAATTTTCTAAATTATAAACATATACTTAGATTTATTTGTTTATTCTTACATACATTACATTATTCGAAATAACTTCATGGAACACAACATGATTTGTACTGACAGTAGGCGTGGCGTGGAATTGAGAAGGTCTTTCAAGTATTCATCCCACTGACTCAGAATGTCCCGAGGCAAGGTCAGCAGCGCCCATCTCCACTAAACACGGTGTGAATGGTGCATTGCTTCGCGGTCCTGAGACACCAGGTGGTGGACCAGAAATCCCTCAAAGCTGGTCCATAGCGTCAATGATCTCCTCCCATATTTGGCGATTGGGAAGGTAACTTTCCAGAACGATGGCTTGCAGCAACAATTCAAATAACACTTACGGAAGACCGGGTGCCTTGAAAAACCTGAGTCATGAATTAGAATACTGGTTACTTTTTATAATTTGGTTATGCCATAGCTGTACCGGCCAGCGTCCGATAATTTTGCTTGTGTCCGTGACCATGGGCGTCATTAGGCCTATTTTAGGGAGGCTTCAGCCTCCCTAAAAATGTCTTTAGCCCCCCTAAATAATTTCATTGCATTATTTTTAAAAAAGTATTATTTATTTTTCCTGTACTTTTGCTAATATATTGCATCAAATTCAATGTAATGTGGCCATTTTAAATTATATTTCGATAACCT